TAGGGACTCTAGTGCTTGTGTTAGAATCAACGGGGTCTACTCGGACTGTTTTGACATCCATAACACATGACAGGGCTGTGTAGCTTCCCCGTGGCTGTTCAACCTATTTATGGACAGTTGTTTGCAAAATTTGAAAGTTGAAGAATGTGGATTAAGAATGGGTGAGTTAACCGTCAAATGCCTTTTGTACGCCGATGATCAAGTTATTCTTGCGTCGTCGGCGGCCGAGTTGCAAATGATGGTTACATTAATGAACGGATCATTAAAAGAAAGGGGTATGAAAGTGAACGCAAGTAAGACGAAGGTTATGGTTTTTGAAAGAGAAGAAAGTAAAACGAATTGTGAAATAAGAATAGAAAGGGAGTTGATCGAGCAAGTAGATGAGTTTGTATATTTGGGCTGCGTATTTAGCAGGGATGGGAGATATGATAAGGAGTATAGAACGACGAGTGAATGCGGGAAATAGAGTAAATGGGGCCTTGCACTCTGTTGTGAAGAGTCAAAATGTGTCGAAAAAGGCACGTATGGCAATTCACAATGCTGTGTTGGTCCCTACTTTAACGTATGGTAGTGAAAGTTGGGTGTGGCAGAAGAAGCACGAGAGTAGAATAAACGCAGTAGAAATGCGGTCGTTAAGGAGTATGTTAGGGCTGAATCTGAATGACAGGGTAAGAAATTGTGTAATAAGAGAAGAGTGTCGTTTGCAAGATGATGTTGTGACCAGGATTAAGAAAGGAATGCTTCGGTGGTTTGGTCATGTGGAAAGAATGAATGAGGAAAGAGTGACAAAGAAAATTTATGGTGCAGAAGTGAATGGCAGAGTCGGAAAGGGACGTCCTAGGCGAAAATGTATCGACCAAATTGGCGATTTATTGAAAACGGGCCAAATTAGGAGTACCCTTAACCGACGAGCATGTACTCGTATGCGTAGGTATGGTATGGATGTGAAGGAGGCAAGAGAGGTGTGTCAGGATCGTGCCAAATGGAAGTCTGTAGTCTCCGCCTACCCCTCTGGGTGACAGGCGTGAGTGTTTATGTTATGTTATGTTATGTATAAAAATCACGTAAATGTGGAATTTGAACTAACTAATCGTTCAAAAAATTCTGATTTACGCAAAAACACACATAGAGGCATATGCAGCGTTTCTGTTGCATGGACGATAAATTATTCGTTGGTCTATTCAAGCCAAAAAACAAAATATGAAGCAAATTGCTCATTGTATCCAAAAAGTTTTTATCATAACTCATGGCGGCCAAAACGGCTACAGATGCTGGCAGCCATTTTATTTGTTTAAATATCAATGTGAATATTGCAATCAACATGAAATAGAAGATGATTTTAATTTACACATTTTAACATAGTATAATCTATAAATTTTTTTATAGGATGGGGTGACAAACGAGCACACACACAGTCCGCCTATTGGTAAGTGGTTGCTGTGGCCCATAGACATCTACATCCATCCTCGATTACAAATCAAAATGCAGATGCGTTGTCACCCGTGAGGTCTAAGATAGAATGCACCGATTCCAGTAACAAAGGGTCTCCGGTTCTCTACACTCACCATACGAAATACAGCAGTATTTAGCTACTATTTCACGCTGGTATTCTGTGAGAGCGCGGCACTTCCCAGGTCGAGCCGACCCATTCGTGCTACAACTATACAACCTAATATAACTGCAGCGTCGCTCTACCATGTTACAAAACCACAAATACATTGAATTGTCTGTTTGTAATATCAAAATAATATTTACCAACCCTTTATTAAATGCATATGAAAGTATATACAGATATTGTTGTACTTCATGGGTGGGTACCGCCCACTTACGATAGTGACGTGCCACGTTAAACTGTGCCATGTCATAACGATCAATAACAAATAATTTTTAAAATGTTTCTCTGTCTGTCCGTTCCGGCTTATAGCTGGCACTGGCGGAATGGTGATGTCATAAAGAGTACACATACACAGGCTACATTTATATTAAAAAAATAATTAAAATCCGCGTAAAAAAATTAAAACCCATGAAATCCAATTGTAATAAATACTACGCAGGCGAAGTCACAGGAACAGCTGTTATGTAACTATTATGTCATAATTTGTATTAAACTTTAACTTAATTTTACATGCATTGTAGTTTAGTGCTACCAAGCCTGGGCTGACGCATCAACGTCCCGGGATGTAAACACCAGCGCTCTAAAAAAGAAGTATAATTCCGCCTCCAGGTCCTTCAAAAGAGTCATTACCAAGGCAAAGTCAAAGCAGATAGGCGAAATTGACGAGAGAATAGTTCGCCTTCCTTCTGGAACCCGTGCATTCTGGTCTCTCGGCAAGGCTGTCCAGGGGAATTTCTGATAGCCATCTCACCATCTCTGCACAGGGAGGACGACTCAATATTGCGGAGGAGAAAGCTGATCTGCTAGGTTCTTTCTTTGCATTCAACTTGACTCTCGATGACGGGGGGAGTCCGCCGCCGACAATCCCGCGGTGTGAGTGCTCCACACCGGAGGTGCTGTTTATACAGCGCTCGGTTCGCAAAGCACTCCTCTCTCTGGACATCCACAAGTCGAGTGGGCTTGACGCTAACCCCCAATTGTGCTGAGGACGTGTGCTTCAGAGTTGGCACCGGTCTTAATGCGTCTTTTCCGGTACTCCTACTCTCTAGGCGTAATCCCAAAACCATGGAAGACGGCTTTCGTTCACCCGATCCCTAAAAAAGGCTACCTCTCAGACCCGTCCAACTACAGGCCCATCGCCGTCACTTCCATGTTCCCAAAACAATGGAATCCATTGTAAACTGCCAGCTCATGAGGTACCTTGAGAATCACTAGCTGATTAGTGATCGCTAATACGGTTTTCGTCGTGGTCCATGAGCTGGTGATCTTCTGGTCTACCTGACTCATAGATGGGCGGCGGCTGTAGAGTTCAAGGGGGAGGCATTGGACATTGCGAAGGCCTACGATCGGGTTTGGCACAAAGGGCTTCTTTCGAAGCTCCCTTCCTACGGGCTTCCCGAAAAATTGTGTAATTGGATCACCAGTTTTCTTGCAGATCGGAGCATCAAGGTCGTTGTAGACGGTGCAAGCTCCTATAACAAGCCTATTAATGCTGGTGTTCCACAAGGCTGCGTGCTATCACCAAACGCTGTTTCTTCTGCATATCAATGAACAATGATATGTTGCAAATCGGGAACATTCATTGCTATGCAGATGACAGCACTGGTGATGCTCTGTACAACGGCTGTGCCAATATTTCTCGGGAAAACGTGTCCCAGTACCGGGACAAAGTAGTGTCTGAAGTCGAGTCTTTGCCGTACAAAGTCTCGGATTGGGGATGACTAAATCTTGTCCAGTTTAACACTCGGAAGGCACAAGTTTGCGCATTAACCGCTAAAAAGAACCCCTTTGTCGTATCTCCTCAGTTTCAAGGCACTCCCCTAGTTGCCTCAGCCAGTATCGGAGTCCTCGGCGTCGAAATATCGAGTGACGTGCAGTTTTGCTTGACGTGCTCAGAAGAGCGGGACAGTATTTCATGCCGGCACACCGCCTGCAACTTTAGAAGACGCAGGCTAGGCCGCATATGAAATACTGTTTCCATCTCTGGGCTGGGGCTCCCCAGTACCAACTCTTTTCACTTGACCGCATCCAGCGAAGAGCGGCTCGAATCGTCAACGACCGAGTGCTTTCCGATCTACTCGATTCACTAGCGCTGCGAAGAGATGTTGCATCTCTTTGCTTAATTTATCGCATCTATCACGGGGAGTGCTCTGAGGAATTGTTCGGATTAATCCCAGCCGCCAAATTTCATAAACGCACTACGCGGCAAACCTCCGATACCATCTACACTATCTGGATGCTTGGCGGTCCACCACTGTACGTTTCACTAGGAGTTTTCTTCCGCGTACGGCCACTTTGTGGAATAATTTACCACCGGCGATTTTTCTGGACCGATACGACCTGGGGACCTTCAAGAAAAGAGCTTACTACTTTCTAAAGGGCCGGCAACGCACCTGCAATTCCCCTGGTGTTGCGGTTGTTCATGGGCTGCGGTAGTCAATTAACATCAGGTGAACCGTGTGCTCGTTTGCCACCTCTTCTATAAAAAAAGTTTGTAAATAAATATATGTTTCGGTTTTAATTTTTATAACGATAGCTAATCGATAATTTTTGCTTTGTTTTTTTGTGTAATTATTCGCCTTTTTAAATCGATTTGACATTATTCCATCTCTAGACACGCCAAACTGTAAGCTGTCACCCGCACCATGCTGTAACGCAAAGACTAGAGAATTTTTTTCCTGGAGGCATCTTACATACGTAAATTGCACTAGGATAAACATTTCGACCCGAAAAAAATATTCGTAGGTCATACAAATATATGATGAACACATACATGTTCTGTGCCGCACCTCAATGCTAAGCCACTGTAATAAGAAGACATTGCCACGGTATAGATGCCACGCTTGGCAGACGGCTCGGCAAGCGTAGTTCTCTATTATACGAAATTGTTATCAGGAAGATGCTGCTGCCCATTTCCTGTTTCAATACCCTCTGTCGCTGTTACGACACACTGCATAATGTCGGTAACTGGACTCCCTGCGGCCGCCACTGTATGGCGAGGGACAAAAATATAAATAGCAAGTTAAGCCTGATAACATATTATTATTAATTTAAAATTGCATTATTCTTTGCTCGGGTAGCAGCAACTCCAGATATTCATCTTTATCGTCATTACAGCCCTTCACAAGTCCACCGTAGAACATAGGCTTCACAAAGTACGGTCCTGAGCCACATGCATCCTTGTATGACTGAGCCACATGCATCCTTGTATGACTAAGCCACATGCATCCTTGTATGACTGAGCCACATGCATTACTAGGTCGTCACTCCATCTAGTGGGGCACGCCCTACACGTCATACACGAGTATGAGGCTGCCACTCGAGACTTTCTTCGGATATTCTAGTATTGTATATTAACGTTGTTACAGGTTGCCTCGCGGTGGGAATGGCATCAGAGGAGGAACCGGACTCATTAAAGATATATTGGGATCACTTCTTCAAAGCTGAGACTGGAACTTATGAGGTGGGTATATTATTGCTATAACTGCATATTTTACTTTTACATTTTGTACACATTAGTCATCTTAAAGCGTATTAATAAAATTTCAACCCTGTATGTAATATTACAGAGAAGTTTTCAATTTTATAATGTACTTAAGGGTAGGATTTGCCTGTGATTGATTTATGTTGCTGATCTCATTTCTACATAGCAATCATATTTGCTTGTTAAGAATTGGAGTTTTTAGTTTATGATTCGTATGAACTATTGTGCAGAAATCAACGTGGCTGGACCTCTTCCTGGCTGAGTTCCTTGTTCGTCTCAACGACGGCGTCGAGCCAAAGCACCTCATTAAGTTCTGGTATTTTTTTTTCTATTACCAACGAAATATATATACAGATAATTTTAAATATTATTACGTGATAACTTAGTACAAATGAAACGTTACTTAATAAAACTACGGATATAGTATAAAATCTACTATCTAATGAACATTTTGTTTATTGTTTCTATATAAGTACTCTGATAGTGCCGTGAAGTTTTTTTTAGTTATTAATAAAAATAAAAAATTATTGAAACAAGTATATATTATATAATTATGTCAATTCAAATCGTAATGTAGATGAACTTTCACGAGACCCTTTTTACTTGTTCTCAGGGGTGACAACGCAGAGGATAGAAGTAGACGTCTATGGGCCACAGCATCCACTTACTATCAGGTGGACTGTGTGCTCGTTTGTCACCCTTAATCTATTCAAAAAGCCTAGTAAATTTGTAGAACTTAAACAGAAAACTTACAGTTCTATAATAGAAATAGTCTTTTGGCAACTATTTTCAATATCGAGAAACCAAAAACCTTTTTTGCTGTTATTTTGAAATTTATCTGCAATATGCAAAAATATTTTAAGTAAATATTGAAGACCTATTAATTTCACGTGAAAAAGGTCGTTTCACTTTATCCTTTAATACTCATGTTTTAGTTGTAAAATGGTAAAATGTAGTTAACCAAAACAAGTGGTTTAAATTCAGTTTTTACTCATAATTTTTATATTAGACACGCATGCTCGTGCAGGCTCACCTGACGGTAAGTGGCTACCGCCCATGAACAACTGCAACACCAGGGGAACTGCAGGTGCGTTGTCGAACTTTTAAAAAGAGTAGTCACTTTTTTATAGTATAAAGGTGACAAACGAGCACACAGTCCATGGTAAGTGGATGCTGTGGCCCATAGACATCTACATTTATCCTCAATTAAGACTTTAAATGCGGATGCGTTGTCACCCCTGACGACTAAGATAGAATGCCTCACTTCCAGTAAAAAGAGTTTCCGGTTCTCTACGCTTACCATATTGACCATCCAAGATCCTCAAGCTGCATCGTGTCTGTACCATGTTTACCTTAATTTCGTTTACCAACATAACGCTATATTGACTTGCCAGTGACAATTTGTTAAGAAATGGCTTTCTTTCTTTTTTCTTTATAACGGTTTGTGGCAGCAGCCCGGTGAGTGGCGTGGTGACACTGGTGGGTTGCGAGCTGCTGTGCGGCATCCACCGCGTCACCTCCAGCATCAACACGCACCACGTGGCGCCGCTGGCTTCGCTCGACGCCTACACCGACAGCGAAACCTCACTGCAGACGCAACCGGGTATATAGTTTTACTTTAGATACACTGGTCATCTTTAAGTCGTCACTGTGTGTTAAAAAAACCACTATCCTATTGTCAATTATAGAATGGTGATGACTTCTGACTGCTGTTTGAATTTTTTTAACCGTATCGAAAATACCAGTTGTCTTATTACTATCCCACTATTTTGAACAATAATTTTAAAAAGTTGCTAATCGTAATTATTTATGTATTGATACCAAAATGTAAATAAGTAACTAAATTTACTTTTTAAATGTTACGTTAGATAAAATTACGACCTTGGTTTTGGCGACACTCTTCAAACCTTTTGAGGACATTATCGAAGACTCTTCGATAATGTTGCTGAGGAATCAATCTGATTATCTCTTAAATATTTCTTCTTAAAACTACCAAACTTTGTGCATTGTTCTCGCAGATAACACTTTTAAGATCTATGAGAACATCAAATGGGTTTAAATCACGCTTTGTGGTGGTTACTCACTCCTTTTAGAAATTACTTTTTTGAAAAAAAATAATGCAGTGCTTCTTGCGCATTGTTATTGTTATGCGTCGTGGCTTCATCTTGCTAGAACCACGAAAGGTGCTTGTATTTACCACTTTCTCTTAGTGTTGGAGCAAAAAAAAATGCGTGTCATCTTAATACAGCGTCGAGTCGTAATCGCTCTGCGTCTATGGTCTTCAAATAAGTAAGGTCCAATAATGCGAATTTGCGACTCAAACTGCAACTTTAAAACTTTGTAAGGCGCGTTGATGTTATAATGTTGTTTTGCTCTCTACCCAAAATTGGCAATTTTTGCAATTTATCTATCCGTTCTCACATTCACACCACTATGTTTGCGTTTCGTTCATTCTTAAAATAGTCAGACCGTTTCGGAACACCCCGTATTATTACACTCCAAATGTACGCGTTAACTTATGCAAATACTCGTCCTAACAAACCTTGCCCGATGTCTCTCGCCAGGTGTCTCCTCTTCTGTCGAGGGATCCATCTGGGTCGGTGCGCTCCTCAGTAAATATTTCTGCCAGTAAATAGCAGTGCCTGCACTGCTGTCTACCGCTCTGCAGGGTATAGGGAGCCAGTTTAACTACAGGATGTGAGGCAATCCATCTTAGTCCTTAGTGATGACCTGTAGTGTTTAGCCTTCTTTGTTTGAAGTACCTTGTTGAAATTCGGACAGTTGGCAACCAACCCCTGACTTCTGTCAAATTGGAGGTTCCTTTTATCTATGAAAGGTCTGACGGTTGATTTCGACAGACCGTCTAAATCGTCCCCTAGGGCCCCACTAACTTGACTATGAGCTCCAGTGTTAATCAAAGAAACTTACAATGAAGGTATGAATAGGTTATAGTTTATACTTATATCATGAAGTTAATGCTGTCTTGTTTGTAAACTAAACTATATTTTGTTCGTTTAGATTTAAAAAAATACTTGACATTGTGTACAGAGTCCCAGACTTCCGAGTCAGGTCGGCTGCAGCCAACGAGTCTATTCACGCGAGCCAACGCTCAGTCCTCTACCGAGATCCTCAGGAAGTACCTCCTCGGTGGAGTTGCTTGGAGATGTCTTGCGCTACTAAGAGTTTTAGGGGTGGAGGTGAGTGTGATTAAAATTGTTTACTTTTCATATTAGTTTGAATATACTTACGATGTCACAGATGTTTTTATTTTATTAATTGCATACATTTTACCGTATGTTTAATATTTTTTATTTTACAAGGCCACTTGTAGAATATTCACTACTCCATATCCTATAGGTGTCGTAAGAGGCGACAGAGGGAAACGAAACCAGGAGATGAGCATGCTGGTGCTCATCTCCTGGCTTCGTACCTGATAATAATTGGGAAAAAAAACTGCGATTGCTAACTCACTTGCCAAATGTGGCAACCATGGCAAATGAAGCTGAAGCAATCTATGGGGGAGGTCTATGTTCAGCAGTAGACTTTTAAAGGCTGTGATGGAACGGAGTGACGGAATTGCGTATTGTTTAAAAAATTACGGGTTGGATCCCGTTTAATTTAACTTATTTTTGATTCCCGATATTTCGGTTGCCTTATAGCGCCCATGGTTACGGTGAGACAACATCCCGATGTCATAGTTAGCCCGGCTACCTTCAGCTTTTGAATTAATTTTTTGTGCGATCTGCACAGAACGAGGTTACCAGTATCTTGAAGTATTGCAGTGGTACGCTTGAGTTTGGATTTAATTTTATTAATCATAGGATCCCAGGGCTTTAATTGTCACGCTCGGCATTATCGCTGCTTCTCAGCGCCGGAGCAGTTAAGAGATGTTTATACCGCTATCTTTCGGCAGCCATAAGGTTTTTTTGCATTTTGTCGCCTCTGCCATTGACTACCTCGTTGGTCCAGTGGTCGTAAACGCGGCCCTGATCATGACATCCCGGATTGGAATCCTTGTAAACTTTCGGTAGGTAGAACTGGAAAAACTCTCGGTAGGTAGAGGTAAAGTCGTTATCCTGCGCCTGATCTTTCCGAGAGTGTGGGAATAGCAAGTGCACCTGTGCTTGCGCAAACACTCGGGCACTATAATCCTGTCCTACGCAGATGGCTAGTTTCCTTTGTAACTGGTCGCCGTGACCGAAATCCGGTGCGGAGGACATTTAGTCGCCTCTTACGAAACCTACGGGACGGAATCAGGTGGTAATTTTGATTATAATGTGATGCGATAATATGTTATCGCATCACATGTGTAGTTTTTGACGTAATTAGAAAAAAATATCAGCACAGGTAGAGTCACACCGCAGCTATATTATGGCTGCAGCAAGAATGTTCGGCTCGACCAGGGACGGACCACGTTCTTATAGAATAGAATACCAGCGTCAACGTCAAATATCCGTAAATGACTAATTCTTTATGTAGAGAGATATTTGAAGTTAGCGCTACCTACTTATATCTTAGCGGATGCAGAATAAATCAAAACGTAATGATTTCTTATATTTACGCGAACACTACACATTGAAATAATACTAGTTTTTACGGAATTTATCGCGTTTTTAACTTTTTAAATACCCGACGTTTCGAACGCTTTACAGCACTCATGGTCACGGGCGGGACTGAGATGTTCAACGTCCATATGTCATAGTTAACCGCGTTAGATTAAAATTTAACTTTTGTTCCGATCTATGCAGTATGAACTTATGGTATCTTGAAGTCTTGCAGGTGTATGCTTGGGTTGGGTTTTAATTTTATTTATTATAGGATCCCAAGCAGATGGTAGCACCCAGCCTTTCTCTATTGAAATGGTTTTGATTTCAATAGCCTCGCGAATTATCCTTGGAAGGAATCTGTTCTTTAGCGAGGATCTGCGGTGCTATCAAATCTGATGTAGTGACGGGGGCGATCCTGTACGTGTTCACAGACTGCAGACTTCTGCAAGACTTCTGGAAGTCTGCAGTCAAGCATAGATCCCAAGCATACAACTGCAAGGCTTCAAGATACCATAAGTTCATACTGCATAGATCGGAACAAAAGTTAAATTTTAATCTATGGTAACCGCGGTTAACTATGACATATGGACGTTGAACATCTCAGTCCTCCCCGTGACCATGAGTGCTGTAAAGCGTTCGAAACGTCGGGTATTTAAAAAGTTAAAATATACGCGATAAATTCCGTAAAAACTAGTATTATTTCAAATCAAAACGTACTTGAACGAGGGTAATTTCTAAGAAAACGTGCACTGTGGTTTTATAGCTCTCGCTGTTATCTTACACGCACAAGTTCGAATCGACAACCGATTTAGAACTTTAAGGTTATTGCAATTTTAACTGAAATCCCATATGGGAACTATCAGTTGAAGTACGTATGCACTGTGTGGCGTGCGCAGATAAGGGTTACAGCATACTATCAGCGGTTCGGGCAGTTTTCCTCGGGTGCTGACCCCAGATAAGTGGCGACACGACACTGTTTAACCTTGACATCTTTTAAAACACGTGAGATAGCCTAACCCAATGTTGGGCGTGGTGAAAGCTGGAGAGTTTCCTACACGTGTATTGCGACTTTCTTTATTATAAATGAATGGGTCGACCCTACCAGGGAAGGACAACTCTCTCACAGAATACTAGTGTTTAGTATGGTGAGTGTGGAGAACCGGAGACCCTTTTTACTGGAGACGAGGCATTCCATCTAAGTCCTAGGGGGGTGACAACGCATCTGCATTTTGTTTTTTAATTTAAGATAAATAAAAAAATGGCCGCGCCATCCACTTACCATCAAGGATACTGTATTTCTTTTTATAAGAATAGGTGACAAACGAGCACACACTCCAACTGATGGTGAGTTATAACTGTGGCTTTTAGACATCTACATCTATCCTTGATTACTAATTAAAATGCAGATGCGTTGTCACCTGTGAGGACTGAGATGGAATGCCTCGTTTCCAGTAAAAAATGTCTCCGGCTCTCTACACTCACCATACGAAACACAGCAGCATTAAGCTACTATTTGACGTTGGTATTCTGTGAGAACGTGGTTCTACCCCGGTCCAAACGTCCCATTCGTGCAACAACTATTCTACTAATATAGCTGTAGCACCTTTTTTCGATAAAAAAGTAGTGTTTTTAATTACCGTTTTAACCAATAAACTCGATTTTTTTGTTTATTCTTGATTAAGATCTCGTGTTTCAGTTTTCCTCTGCCACCTCTCAAGACATCTAAGATATAATATAGGATGGCAATTTACCGCCATTTTAAGTTGAAAAAAAAACAATTAAAAAAAAAGAATAATGTGTAAACCTGTTTAAAATATTGCAGCTTATGGTTTAGTTAGTAGTAGCATTTTGGGCTTTTTTTGTATATGTATGTTTTTTTTATACGTGGTAGAACCATACTGCAGTTATACAACATGTAACATAATTAACGCACTTTGAGAAAGTAGTTTGTTCAGAATCGTTTACTGAATCGATTCCTATCATTTTTAATATAGGTAATATAATTAAAAGTACGTAAATTAGTCACAATAAATCTGTACAGTCAAAACAAACTGAAATGAACCGTAACTTAAGGCAATAACACTTTTAAGAGTGCAGTTTTATTCGTATTATTACTAATTTTGTCATTCAATAAAAATAAAGAAAAATGAACTTTATTTCAAGCACGTTAAAGTCTTTGCGTTCGTGGATTTGTACTGTGACCACAACATTCTTCCGGAATTAGTATAACTAATTTGATAAATAATCAGTGCATAAAAATGTTTAACTAAAAATTCAGTGTATGTATTATGATTATAACATAATATACTAATTGGGGTGTCTGAGGGTGTGCGTTAATTACGTTACATATTGTATTTATAGTATAGTTGTAGCACGAATGGGTCGGCTCGACCGGGGAAGGACCACGCTCTCACAGAATACCAGCGTCAAATAGTAGCTTAAAGCTGCATATGGTGCGTGTTTTATTGGAAACGAGGTATTCCATGTTAGTTGTCACGAGTGACAGCGCATCTGCATTTTGATTCGTAATCGAGAATAGATGTAGATGTCTATGGGCCACAGCAACCACTTACCATCAGGTGGACTGTGTGCTAGTTTGTCACCCTAACCTATAAAAAATATTGTCAAAACTAGTTTCATTGAATGTGTAGTGTTCGCGTAAATCATAGTGGTAAATAAATTATATTGTAGGAAATAAAAATGAAATAAAATAGAATAAGTATATAAATAGATTAACCAGTAATTCTAATTTCATGGATGTTGGGAACTGATTATATTTATTGTAAACATTCGGTTAACCGTTTGTTTGTGAATACAAAGATGTAAGCCAGTGGGTGCGGTGCGCACGCAGCGGCGCTCGTTCACTGAACCCCAGCGAAAATATGCAACGCTAATGAGTGGTGTAATGGTATTTAATTAAGCGGTTAATGCTATTACGGTGCAGACTTAGTTACAGTGCTAAGAATGCTGGATACTTAACATAGTAGTTGTATGACCTGCTCCAGCCTTGCGGGCCACTGCCACTAGTCTATGAGTAGTGAACGCAACTGTAGTTCTAAGTATTTGGTCATACTGCCGGGTCCAGTGTGTCAATTTCGGAACGGAAGGAAAAAATATCGGGAATTTGGTTTTCAAATCGGGACAGCTGCAATAGCTACAAAAGTAGGTTTTGTTGGGACGGTTTTTTTTAATGCAGTGCGCAATGTGCTTTATAATTATTATTGTTGTTATTAGTCTTCAGCTATAGAACAGCTGCTATTGGTAAAATGTTGAGGACGTGAGATGTCGGCAGGGGTTGTCATGCTGTCGTCAGCTAAGCTCGGTGCTGATCTGGTTGTTTGGCGAGCTGGGCGGCGGCGGGAGTGGCGGCTGTGGCGAGGCTCGAGGTACTCCGCAGTTGCGTGTGCAAGCGCCGCGGGTGCCCATACACCAGCTCTTCTCGCACAGGTTGATATAGTTCCTCGATTCTTGAAAGTGTTAATGCCTATTTATAAGCTAAAAACAAAAAGCATCCACACCAACAGCTAGAATAATAAATAAGTTAATTCATATTCCATCTTACCATAGAGTCGTTGTAGTCTAGGAGCTTGCCTTAAATCTTACTCGACTTTTAAAGCTTAGCTGCTTAAAAGTTCCATATCAAGGCCGCATATAAATAAGAAAGAAAGAAAGAAAGAACCATTTATTTGATAATCACACTTTACACACAATTTAAAAAATTTAAATATAAAATACAATGAGCAAAGAATATGCATGCGCAGATGTAAGACTGCTTACGCATTAAAAATTATGTAATAACAGAACATGCTCGATGTTAATTAATAATGAAACAAAAAAAAAATAATTAGAAGTGTTAGCACATTTTTTGTTAGAATGTCAGTTTCAAAAAATTTGTGATTCCCGGGTGTTGTGAAAGTTACCGTGCAGTGGCGGCGTAAGAATGTTCACCACCCATATGGTCTCGTGTTTGTCGTAAGAGATCACGGAGGGAAACGGAAACAGAAAATAGCCAGCAGTACCTTCCTAATAAAAATAGCGTTTGCCAAGCTGCCTGCCAAGTGTAGCATCTATGGCAAAATCCCCTCTGTGACGCAATCTGTGGGGCCAAAGTTCAGCAGTGGACTTTTATAGGCAAAAATGATGTTAAAGAGACCGATTTGTATAATTATTATAAAAATCAACCGAAAGTTACTTGAAGTACTAACTTTTAGAGGTTTGGTGATTGCACTTTATACCACGCGAACGACGCGAATTCGATTTCCGCGACACCACAAAAATCGTCAGTTGGTTTACCACTTGCTCGGTGAAGAAGAAGGAAAACATGGTGAGGAAATCTGTTTATCAGAGAATGCCAGGCAGCGCGGTATACTCTTTATTATACAAGTGGTAAAATTAAAACAATTTATACAACCGACTTTAATAAAAATAAAATGAGAATATCATCAATGTAGTCGAAGTCAATTAAATACGCATTATTAAGGATAACTCAGAACTACTTTTCAGATCGTGATCAAATTTATATGAGTTGCGACCTCACCAAACACCAACTTTCAGATAAAAAAAATAATTATCAAAATCTAGAAAAAAGTTCTGAGGTAACACACAAAAAAAACAGCCGAAAAGAGAACCTATTATTTTTGAAGTCGGTTGAAAACCCTTTCAGTAATAATATTGATTTTTATATTATTGTTGGATCTACCTAGAGGGCCGTGTGTCTAACGAGCAAAAGTATCTAACTGTCGAATGGGCGGAGTTTAGTTCTGGAGTTCGTATTTATTTACGTAAGCTCTGACAGATGCTTTAAATTTACAATGTGGGAAAAAACTATTTTTTATAGGATTGTGTGACAAACGAGCACACAGTCCTCCTGATGGTAAGTAGTTGCTGCGACCCATAGACATCTACATCTACTATATCCTCGATTACGAATCAGAATGCTGATGCGTTGTCACCCGTGAGGACTAAGGCGGAATGCCTCGTATCCAGTAAAAAAGGTCTCCGTTTCTCTACACTCACCATACGAAACACAGCAGCGTTAAGCATTACTATTTCACGCTGGTATTCTGTACCACGTATAAAAAATAATAAAAAATCCAAGCCGTTCCGTTTGCTATTTTCACTAGACATGTAGACAAAGTGACTCATACATTATTGCTATGGTGCAATCTTTAGTATAGTCATAAATCAATTTCACTGGCGACAACTGTGTATTAATTTATTAATATATTTATGAATGCTAATGACGTGGGTGGCCGGTTTGCAAAGATACTCTATAGAGTTATTCAATTATTATGTTCCATCATAGCCTATACTAGTCCACTAATGAACATAGACATCCCCCATATATTGCTTCATAGAGGGATTTTGCCAAAATTGCCATGCTTGGCAGGTGGGTAGCTAACCACAGTTTGTTTATTATTGTGAGTTGTTATGTGGAAGATGCTGTTGCCCGTCTCCCGTTTCGGTTTCCCGCTGTCGCCCACTACGACACCCGCGGGACGATATGGGGTATAGTGTATAACTTATTCTTACACCGCCACTACACGGTAATGTTAATTATATAAACATATCAATATATCTCATGCCGCTGCCTATGACATATGACCTCATAGGCAGATAAGGCGACTGACCATTTAGTAAAATAGAAACATAAGCACATATAAAAGTAAAGCTCTAGCATATACTAGATGACTGTTTTTCCTGTCTGGAAAAATACGGTGTAACATGTGGACGGAAAAGAAGAATATGGCACTGATTTTTTACAAAATATAAAATGATGAATTAAATAAGTAAATGCATTCAATTCTATCGAAATTCAAATCATATCCACCCTACTTCATCATCATCAGGCATCTTTGACCTTGTTAATTCGCAGGGTCACAGGCTTAAGGGCAGAGGGCAAAGTAATTGTTAAAAAAACTTTTCAAACGTTTAATTCAAACTTTTTGTTTTCTTTTTTGTAAAATATCAATGCCATAGGCTTCTACTCCGTTCACATGTAACACTCTATTTTTTCCACACGGTAAAAAAGGTTATCCAGTATATTATATCTTAGTGCTGGCGCAGGCGTCCGCATATTTCTGGGACGGTCACGGAGCAATTATTGCGTCGAGACTGGCTGGTTTGAGAAATTTAAAAAAATCGAAGATAAATGAAGTCCGCCCATGTGGGATACTAATCTTCCGGTCACCAGATGTCGCTAGTTGAGACTGAGGTGAAGCTTTTTAATATAATTTAATTGAGAAGTTAGTTCTTAATAAAAGTTTATCAGTTTCTAGTGTATTATATTAATGCACAAAACAATGTCTCAGTGGTTGGTTCTTTAACTTTGTGCACATTTTTAACTTTTTTTAATTTTTGTAGCTTTATGAATATCTGTGGTTTGGTTATTTATTTCCAATCTAATTAATTTAAAAATATAACTAAGAGTACAGAAAGAAACATTAATCTTTACATTTTTCGAATAAATTGACTTACCCGCTATGGAATCTGTCAAATATTACACCACATGTTTAGGTGGCGCCGCCCTAGTGGCAGAAAAAGTCGCACTCATATGGGCAGCGCAGCGGACATACCCTTGTTCTAAAACCCTTCTCGAAAATAAGCGAAGGCCTGTGCCCAGCCGAGGGATATAGGCTGTAGCTTTATTTTACTTTTACTTCTTTATTAAAATGTTATTCACGTTCCTAGGATATGGTCCAAACAAAAATCAAATCAAGCAACAAAGACAATGTCCGCTGGATCCTCCGAGCGAAGCTCCGCCACCGGAAGGTAAACTTGGTGTGTCTGTTATACGTAAGAGAATTAAACATATTGCTGTTTCTTTAGCGTCTTCTCTTTTCTTTCATGGAATAAGGGTGGCAAACGAGCTTATAGTCCACCTGATGGTAAGTTGATGCTGTGGCCCATACACATCTACATTTATCCTCGATTAAGAATCAAACGCAGATACGTTGTCATCTCTGAGGACTAAGATAGAATGCCTCGTTTTTTAGTAAAAAAGGGTCTGCATTTCTACACTCACCATATGAAACACAGCAGTATTAAGCTGCTTTTTCACGCTGGTATTCTGTGAGAGCGTGGTCCTTCCCCGGTCGAGCCGACCCGTTCGTGCTACAACTATAATAGCTGCAGCGTGGCTCTGCCACGTTCTCTTGTTCGACTTGTGTTTGCACTTAAGTAAGATATTTGCATTCCTTGTGTGTGGTTATGGTTTTCATCCAGTAGTGATGCAATTTTACCTTCATTACCAGGGCGAGACAGAACGGCATAGCCAAACAAGATACCTCCGATAATAAAGCGAGGAGGCGACCCGCGATAGATTCTGAACACTCCTCGGAGTCTGCTGACTCGAACGACGACCTTCAAATTCTAAATAGATCCATGACCATCAAAGTGTGTTCGCCCGACGATGACTTCGAATATTTCAACTCGCCGGTGCGCTCCTCCAATGAGTATCCTAGTGGAACACTTTACACTGACTCATTGTGTACGTTGCGTAAAATAAAACCAAAGGCGGACGATTACATGAGTGATAAACACAGAGACATTATCAACACTGAAATCACCAGTTTTGAGTTCACACTCCTAATTACGGACCTGCTCCAAGAGCTCTGCAAAGCTGAGAGCAGCTTAACCGGTTCTGAAGGCTCACAGATTTCAATGCAGTGTATAAACTTCTCTTTAAAAAACCTCTGTTCATTACAATTTGGCTCCTTGCCGGCTCAGTCGAACTATAACAGCGAGGAAGTGTCCAGTATAAAATTGGCGTTAACGGAACTCTTGATCGTGTCTCTAGATAAAGTCTTGATCCACTCGGATCTGTGTGCCAAATTAATTAATAACGGAATCCTGCCGATGTTACTTAGAATTCTAGAAGATGTAATTTGTAAGTCTAGCAGTAAATATAACACGAGAGGGGAGAGTGCTGCCCGTACCAGAGATGTAGAGAAACCAAGTGAGACTGAAGCGGAGAACTTACTCAAATTTGTATTCGGTATAGCGTATTCTGTTACAGCGTTCTTCCATTGTTTGCTAATGCAATGTCGGACGGTCGATAAGCTCAGAGAGTTCACCGATCAGTTTAAACTTTACGGGGAATGTCTGAAAGGCGGACTTTTGAAAGAATGTATAGAACTAATGATAAGAATCCCGGGATTGAATCAAGAAGCGAGTGTTATATTAATCAAGAAGTTAATAGAATCTATAGGGAAGCTTGTCAGTGGTATGAAACGAGTGCGCAGTGAGGTGATACATACTGCTGCCTGTCCGCGAAGTCGGCATAAAGCATGCAGGCAGAGGGTTGCTGCGGGCATGCATCATCATCACGACGTGCTTGGAGAAGCAGGTACTGGCTTGCCTCTACCCTCTGCATGTTGCATCTCAGTTCTGTACGGAACCTTGACGACATTAGTCACTGATGAGGAGATTTCAGCTCAAATCGTGTTGAGGAATAAAATACTCAGAGTAATGCTAAAATGCGGCGTGTGTTGTTGTTTTTCGCCAGGATTCCTCATGGAATGTATCGTCAGACTGATGTGGACGCACAGCAGCGTTGCACCACGATGTCTCCAGCTTCTCGAGCACACGGTCTATGGCGATTTAGGTGCTAGTATACTGATTCCACGTGTAACTGATCAACTGCCGTGTTCTATTTGTGAGCCGAGCGATGATAATAGGGACTTAGGGAGAAAGTATTGTCCTCACGGTGTCAGCCCGATGGAAAGGAAGAGTGTGTGGTCTTTTCTAATTCATTACAACTCGTTGCTCCAGTTGGACAATCATAATAACGTTCTTCATGCAACCGTCAGCCACCTTCTCAAAGTAACGCCCAAGTGTCGCACGGAAATGAAGTACGAGCTACTGTTTAGTGTTGTCTATCCAACATTTATCGTCTCCAAGCACCGCTACATTATAAGACAGGAGGAGTCGGCCTACTTCTTGACCGTCTCCTGCCTCAACATCTTCGCTAGCCTTTTGAACACCGTCTCGTTCGCCGAACATTTCATACAGAAAGGTGGCCTGAGTTATGTCCTCGAGTTGGTGTCTCTTCCTGAATTTTCCAATCAATGCTGCGCGATTTTAGAAATTGCCATTATTGTGGAGATATACAAATTGATGAAGGAGAACGCGGAGCTGACTTACTATCGAGAAATGAGTTCATTGTCGTCAGTACAGATGCTGTTTAAATCTCTGTCGGAAATGACCGACAAATGCTACAAGATATATAAATTGAAACTTCCACCGGAGAAGTTCGAGGAGCTCTGCGATTTAACGAAGGAGAAAGAAATCCTCGCTACTGTAATCATCTCCAATGCTGAGACTCGTGCAAGAAAAATTTCAGTGCCTACACGGATGACATTCGCATGCAATGAGAATACTGTGGAAAAAACAGGGGAAGAGGATATGAATACGTTAAAGAACATTTGTACGTTCTGGAAGACGTGCGCCGGGCTGTGCCTATACAGTCCGACGTTCCGGCAATATGTGGTGAGCGAGAGCGTATTCCTGGATAGCTTCGCGCTGTTGAAGTTGGTGCTGCACTGCTTGTGTGAGTGTGAGTGTGGAGCTGCTGAAGCCAGGCTGCTCATCAAGCTCATGGAGGCTCTGCTGACTGTGCAGTTTGCCGTCTCAGGTGAGGATATTTCACTTTTTGTGGCTATTTTTTTAATGATGCCATAAACACAACATTTTCTAAATTTTTTATTTTGGTTTCATAAACTTAAATATGCGTAGAATGTTTTTCTGATGATGAAGATGCTTGGAAATTATTTTGTTTGAGTAATCACACATTACATAAATAAAAAATAATTAAAAATTAATAACATAACAGCTGTTATTGGACACTAATAGCGTATACTTAAAAAAAAGAGTTTTAATGTTAAAAACCCTTAGAAATTCAATTTAAAAAAAGAGCAGACTTCGTCTAACGCAAATTTAGCTTAATATTGTTTAAAAGGTTTAAGGTATCATCCCTCCAGGCTTTGCACTCCTCTTCCAAACAGCCTGTATATCGCATATCATCCCGTGGATGTGGTAAGAGGCGATAGAGGGAAACTAATCAGGAGATGGGAAGCAGCATCTTCCTATTAAAGACTAAAATAAAATACTGCGGGTGCCAAGCGTGGCTACTGTGGCAAATATCCACCCTATGAGGAAATATATGGGAGAAACCTGTGTTTAGCAGTGCACAAATGGACTGTTATGGTAACGGTAGACTGATAGATTAGAATTATAAAACAGATGACACTCGGCTACAATAAGTTGTAACCGGACTTAGTACTTAACACGTTGATGGACAGTACTCGCTTACCGATTGCGCTTGAAAATCCACTACTTTTTTCCATACATTGGCCATAGGCGTTGTGTCACAACACTGCGTCAATAATTACCTATTGTGACAACGATATAGACGTAAACGTCTCACGACGTACTGGCACATGAAATGTGCATTTAAAGTGCGTGATTTGCCAGAACGCCTGTCGACGATGGCGTCGAGACACGTCTTCCACCTTTCTTCAGTTTTTTTACTATGTCTTTAGGATTATCTTTGCGATTTTTACGTAAAGTGCCAGTTGTATGAGTTCTCAATTCAAGTAATTTTTGTGACAAGCTCACAGAATTGTAGTAGTTGTCCATAAATAGATGATGTCGACGTAATGGGTATGGATGCATCAACTTTAAAACAAGTTTTTCAGTTTTTGATCCAGTTTCAGGAGTTGAAGCTTGCTTTCCACTATACATTTTCATGTTGAGAACATAGCCATCAGGTGTTGTGAGTTCGAAAAATTTAATGCCATAGCGAGCCTTTTTTATTTGATTGCGAAAGTGCAAACGACCTCGAAACAAAAGAAGAGATTCGTCTAACGACAGTTATTAGCCAGGGTTATATATTTTTTTGAAGTTTAGTGTTAGCATATCAATTGGTTGTACGATCTTATCATCTCCTTTGGCATCCAAGTTTGCTGCATATGAACAACACAAAATTTGTTCATATCTTCTTTATGACATCGTGTAGTTCAATACGTGATCATAATGTAGTGGATTTCTGTTGGCGATAAGAGAATTCTTTGCTTGGGGCATTTTACATGACCTTTCAAAAGAGTGAGACCCAAAAACTTCATAGTTTCTTCGCAATTAGTCTCACGATGTACTGTTTTACGATTATGTCTAGTATGAGGTCTGTTAGTGTTACAGAGGCGGTTCCCGTAACCGTTTGTACAGATTTCAATAAATTCTAAGAAATTTTGTGGAAAAACGAGATGAAAAAAAATCGACATTATTTTTATCGTCAATATTCACAGTCCGATTTGACTGACGTTCAATATTCACAGTCTGATTCAGACGTGAGAAAATCGAATTCAGGTATTTTAGTAATTGATGTAGACCATGACTCCTCTGTAATAAGTGAAATAGATCGATTAATAACATGCTCAAAGTTTGGCTGATTAGAGATGCTCTGGGACTCGGTTGCAAACATTTTATTATTTGAAGGCCCAGCAGTTATTTGTTCATCATACATATTTTCTTGACGTTCAACTGAATAACATGAAGTTCTGTCGTCGTTTTCGACATGATTCTGAACATCATCAGTATTTTGATGATATTCTAAGGATGAACATGTAGTTTTATCATCATCATCACCCGAAGAATCAGAAGACTCACCCCAGATTATAGCCGCTGTTTCTTGCAAGTGACTTGTTTGCTAACTTCCAACTGGGTCTTTAGAAATCGAAGATTCACTTCCAGAAGGTCGGTAATCCTTATCTGATATTCTCCATCATCCACAAACAGTTCTTCAGAGGAATCAGGAGTGGACGCGCCATCAAATAATTTCTGTAACCGTTTTTGATTTTCCTCAAAGGAATCCGTTTCAAAAGTAAATCGTTTCGTTTACAAACAAAATAAGACCCAAACATATGTTTTTCTTCTAAAAGTCTAACTTAAAAAGGCTCAAAAAATTGTATTATTTATTGTAAGTACTATTAAACAAAAAAAAAACGTATAAACGTATAAAAATTACACGTGGCTTACCTTTGCGAAATATTTGGTTGCAAAAACAGCGCGTAAGCACGTGGAGCACCACTTACGCGCACTACTTCACTGAATATATGTAAATATGACGTCGATAGGCGTACTGTGCTTTCGCAGGGTAGTACAAAATCGTCGTTGTGTGAGTGACCGGACTTTTTTCAAATGTGTGTAAAACTTGACGATGTGACAGTACAAATACAAAAATTGTATGTACAGTGACAGTACAAAATGTCGCTTCATACATTTTGAAGGAATCTGGGACGTCGTAAGGCGTACTGATATTATAAGGGCTAAAACTCGAACGTCAACAGACGTTCTATCATATCGCAAACTTTACCGCAACGTCTATAGGCGTTACTGTCCGTCAACGTGTTAATGAGTACCTACACATGATCACGTTCTATAAGATTAAATTACAGCCCATCATTCGACTAGTTCAAGCTATTTCCTAACGTATATCAAGTGAATACGACTAAGACTCGTTTGCTTTATGCTCGTCTGTATATCAATACATGGCATAGATGCGGTCGCATGAACGAAATAGTTTTATAGCAGATTGAGTTTCTATAGCTTAGTCTAATACGGTACCATAGCTACAAACCTCTAATGAATGTTTTTGCTAGGCTTCGTGATTTAAATTCAAAGTAAATAGTTTTGTGCAATAACATTCGTATGAGAACGCTAAAGATCGCTCAGCGAGCTATGGAGAGGGCTATGCTCGTGGTTTGAGGATATCCGCAGTAAAACCAGAGTGACCGACATAACCCAACGGATTAGTAAGCTGAAGTGGCAAGGGGTCGGCCATATAGCTCGAAGAACCGACAAACGATGGGCAAAAAAGGTTTTCGAGTGACAGCCTCGTACAGGTAGGTGAAGTGTAGAGCGACATCCACTAGATGGAGTGACGACCTGGTAAGACATGCGGGAAGTCGATAGATGCAGGTGGCTCAGGACCGTGCTTTGTGAGGTCTGTGTTCAGCAGTGCACTTGTGAAGGGCTATAATGATGATGAAGTATAATAATATTTTTGTAATAAACAATGGTCGTTTGAAAGTTTAAATTCATAATTATTGGGTCAATTTTTTAACCAACATTCAATAAATTCAATTATTACATGTGATTGAAATGTAAAAGACAAAAAGTAATATATATATACCTGCATTGAATAAAAGATATTATATTCTATTCAAACTAATTTTGCATAAAGTTGCGAAAATTTTTAATGTCTGAAATTTAAAGTAACTTATGAGTAATATATATACCACTTATGTATACTCATGCAGCTCCGGAGGTGAAACGTTACAATAAAACGTGACTTTTGTTTTTTTAATACCGTACTAAATTCTCCAGTACGTCGATAAAGAAGTTTCACTTCAAAAACGGTAAAGAAGTGCTCTTGTACTAATGTTGGTGTTGGGCAGAGGTGACCCGGGGCGGGTCGCGCGAGGCTAGCTGCGGCGTGGTGCGCGGAGCGCTGCGGGCCGCGGCCGAGTGCGGAACCACTGGCAGCGGTGGCACTGGCAGCGGTGGTATTGGCAGCGCTGGTTACAGCGATGGTGCGGGGCTTCGAGCGCTGTGCGACGCTCTCATTGGCGTAGCGGTCGCGCGCCCGAGTCGACGCCTTGCGATGCCGCGTCTCGCACCCGCTAAGGTAATCCTTATTGTTTTGCAATATAATTAAACTATAGCATTTACTGTCGATAGTTACATCCTTATTGATTTTTTATAGGGTAAGGGTGACAAACGAGCACACAGTCCACCTGATGGTAAGTGGATGCTGTGGCCCATAGACACTTACATCTATCCTTAATTAAGAATCCAAATGTTTACCAGTAAAAAAGGGTTTCCGGTTCTCTACACATTCCATACGACGCAGTAGCATATGTGACGCTATTATTCTGTGAGAGCGTGATCCTTCCCTGGTCGAATGGACCCATTCGTGCTGCAACATAACTCTACCAGGTACAGAGATAAACCTGATTAGGGGCAGCAATATAGTACGTTAAAACATATACGAACTATCAGAATTAATGATGGTCATTAAAACATATTACAATAACAAAATGTCATTATGTAATTAATTATTATACAGAATAACAATAATTACATATTAATCAACAATCATTTGAAACAATACTAGGTTAACTATTATAAAATATGCCTGCGCACTTAAGCCATAGATCAGGACAACACACGACTGGACAAATCGGTAAAGATTCTTTTTTCAAATAACCAACAGAACAGGAATCAGCATGGAATGATCGAATGAACAGGGTTGACTGGTAGAGAAAGCCGATAGGTATTAAGTCCACCGTTTATAATCTACATGTTAAGATTTTCAATAAAGGATAAATAAATAAATAGTAGCAGAATGCTGCTGTTTCGTGTGATGAGTGAAGAGATCCGTTTTTCGTCGTCTCATACCAATTGAAATCAATTCTCTGTTTTGTAAACAGGATTGACATTACAACTCCACATTATTATTATTTTTATAGTGTTTTCTCTCTCTTCTTTAGAAAAAGGGTGACAAACGAGCACACAGTCCACCTGATGGTAAGTGGTTGCTGTGACAGATAAAAATCTACATCTATCCTCGATTACTAATCAAAATGCAAATGCGTTGTCACCCGAGAGGACTAAGATGGAATGCCACGTTTCCAGTAAAAAGGGTCTCCGGTTCTCTACACTCACCATATAAAACACAAGAGCATTAAGCTATTATTTTACGCTGGTATTCTGTGAGAGCGTGGTCCTACCCCGGTCGAGCCGACCCATTCGTACTACAACTATACTACTAATATAACTGCAGCATGCAGCAGTTTTGTATATATATATATATTATATATATATATATATATATATATTATCGGAATCTCGGAAACGGCTCCAACGATTTTCATGAAATTTAGTATCCAGTGAGTTTCGGGGGCAATAAATCGATCTAGCTAGGATTTATTTTTAGAAAATGTTTTTTGTCCGTGTTTTCAGACAATGAAAAACTGCTACAATATAAGAAAGTAAATTTTGACACTGTGTTAATGATCGTAATAGCTCAAGTGGTTATCGAGCGGTCGCCAAGTCGTAACGCCATGGTTCGCGTCCGTCTTAGGTCCAACATTTTTCCTTTTTTTTCAAGTTCCCTTTTTTTGTGAGAAAATCTATTATTTCCAGCACTTTTTTTTAGTATTTTATAAAAATACAAAAATTTTAATTAAACTAATTGCACTCATGATTTTTAATTCAAATAACCAGTTCAGTTTTTTCTATTATGTCAATAAGATCAAAAAAATATTATTCATCAATATTTAATTTGTATCTAAATGTAATTTCAAAAAGAAAACCGAGCAAAGCTCGGTCATCCGGGTACTTAGTATATTGTAATATCAATTTAAAATAAACTCATAGAGGCAGAGAGGCAGTATGTTAACTAGATGTTTTTATTAAGGAAATAATTGCAATGTATTATTATATGTCATCATCCTACGGTGTACCATTGGCTCCCAGCTAAACAGCCCTAAGCTTCATGTCTTGCTTATGTTTATTCATGTTTTCCGTACGTAAGGTTTTTTTCTCGTAGGATTATATCGAATAAAACTATTTATACGGATTTTATCGCGTTTAATTAACTCATTTTTAATTCCGTCTTGAAGTCTGCAGTCTCGTATAAACAGTTTCATTTGATGTGTAGTGTTGACGTAAATATAAGAAATGGTACGATTATACTTTTGCCAGTATCAAGTAATAAGAAATGTTTTTGTTTAAAAAATATTTCAATGCGTCACATGAGATGTTCTCGATGGATTTTGACGACCGCTGAACCGAGCGGACAGTCGATGGCGGCAGCAGCTCAAGTCATGAGCCTGAGCAGACAACAATCTTGGGGCTTACTGACATCGGACCACTCGTTTCGTGGTTTGCACTATTAGTTCACATGCGCAGACACTTAGTACACAAAATCACATCACTTTAGCGTATCAAAACCCAATTCAAATCATTATATAAACGATATCACAAGTTTCCGCCAAAATTCCGTACGTAAGTTTTGAAGAAAAACAATTATACGTACTACTAGTAGATACTATGGGAGAGTACCAGCGTTTAATTGTTTACAGTCTAATTATAAAGAAAAATACAGGTATACTTAAAGTATCATTGAAATTTACTAATAATTATTCTTCTTAAAAATTTACGTACGAAATTAGAAGGATTTAGTTACCATAAATTCTCGCTATGCTCGTAACACTGATTGTCATTGACATTACATTATAGTTACATTTTAATAGGAGAGTGCAAACGAGCGCACGGCTCACCTGATGGTATTGACCATCGCCGCCCATAAACAACTGCAACACCAGGGGAACTGCAGATGCGTTACCGGCCTTTAAAAAAGAGTAGGCTCCTTTCTTGAGTCACTAAGTCGTATCGGGAATATGAGATTTTACAACTGGTGCAGTAGCTTAGGTATGATTTGCCGTGCTGAGGGCCGCGTGTCGAATCCCGTACGGAACAAGTATTTGTATGCCCTACGAATAATCGTTCTGGGTTTGAATGTTTATCCTTGTCAAATTTATGTATGTAAACTGCCTCTACAAAACACGAGAAAAACTTAGTGGCATAATGTGGGGTTAACTTTTCTTTTTTAAAAAGCTCTCAGATTCAAACATTTGGAACTAAAATAATTTCGAAAATTGCATACTGAAAGTTTCAGAAAACACTATGAAAGCCGAATCGGTTTCAGGCTTCCAGGCTTCTGTGGTGCGCCATTCCAATCCTGCAAATGAAACATGCATTCTAACAATTACCGTTTACAAGGTTACAGCCTACTAAAAGTCCCCTGCTGAACATGTGCCTCATAGGCAAATTATGGGGAATTTTTCCATCGTTGCTACGCTTGGCAAGCGGGTTGATAATTGCAGTTTTTATTTTTAGTTAAGTGTGAGAATACTTCATTATCAGCAAAAAGGGTACTATACTCTACACTCACCATACGAAACACAGTAGCATTAAGCTGCCGTCTAAGAAGTAACGTAGTGAAAAGGCTCCCATTTCTTCCATATAAAAATATTAATATACGGATTATTACTTAAACTTATAAGTCTTGAATTTAATAAAATATTTACTTCTAAAACACTCTCTTGAAACAGTCGCAAATCGTGTAATGAGTGGGCGACAGTAGAAATTCGTAGAAGTAGACAAAAGCTATATGACCTGTACAATGAAAGATCATTATAATCATAGTGTTCCATTTAGAGAATATGTAAAAAAATATTCCAAAATATTTAAAAGAGGTGTTCCACAGCCAAGCCTTTACATTGAAGAAGTAAAATAATGTCCATTTATGCTACAACTATAACATAGATGCAGTATGTCTCCACCGATTCTCATCTGCGTTACACAATAGCGTGCCTGGCGACGCGACCTGTTGATTATTTTGAAATTTTTCGTATTGCAGTAGGGCATTCTATAAAAGACCTGTGCTCGCCAGTAGATCTAGATAGACTGTTAAAGAAAAGAAAATGAACTTTTAGCATATGCAGTGCTATTTGAATAGCAAATTATGTAATATCTAAGTGCTTGTTTATGTCCTAAGAAAGTTTTATAACACTACACATTTAAATGAAACTAGTTTTTACGGATTTTATCGCGTATATTAATTTATTTTAAATTCCTGACGTTTCGAGCACTTTATGTCATAGTTAAACCACAATTTACTAGTTACAAGCGTGCAAATTGTATAGATATATATTTTTAAATTGTTACACTAATGTTTTGAAATGCTGATTTAGAAGTGGGGTATTTAAATGCGTCCCACACGCGGGGCACAAACAGGTACGTGATAGATGTTTCTTTTTAAATAAAAAATTAATACAGCGATAGCCGGAAGAGGTCCAAGTTGAAATAGTCTAATCGCTGTCGCTGCGGACCGGTTTGATGCTAGAGTTGTTACTAGGGTGTCCACACGTCGAGAAATTTTGTATAGGTATATATGCACATTGAAATGAAAAGCGCATCAGAATAGAATAGAATAATTTGTACTCAATATGGATTACGAGAATACTTATTGAAAGATATTTAAGCTTTACCACTGTTTCGGGAAAATCCTCTTCCCTGGGAAGAACCAGCAAGAAACCCAGCGGGACTTTTTAAATTTGTTGTGCGATCCTCCCTCCCACTAAAAGGAGTGACTACCTGATGAGACACGCATGTCGATGAATGCAGGTGGATTAGAACCATACTTCATGTGAGTATAGGGAACTGACGTTCAACAGTTAATTTAATCCTTTATATAAAAAAAAAAAAAACTCGCAATAGCTCGAAAATGTCTTGACCGATTTTGATGAAATTTTTTGTGTTTGGGTGGTTATCTGGATGGTTTAGATTCACGATTGGACGCGGTATAGATGGTGCTGTGGTCGAGATCCAGAAAACATCCGCTAGAAGCCGGGTGTGATTATTACCCGTGTGAGTTATACGAATAAGTTAGAACTGCTTATTTTTGCTATAATATTTCAACAAAATTCGGGGCTTTTTGTCGGGAAAGAAAATGATATTAATATGGCTAAAATGTGTAACAAAAAATTGTTGAACATACCGGAATGTCCAATTGAATACATAAAGTTTAGTCTCCGAGATCGGGTGTAGTGTAGTGTTCAGGCGGAGGCGCCGTACGTTCTCCGCGCTCAGACCGTCGCTAACTATCAAATAGTTAACTTGCTCCATTATTGGATTTGTGCCTTTTATTTACAGGACATCGTCATATATCGTCAAATATTCTGTGTGATTCAAGTGACACTGATGTGTGGGTCAAGTGAAAGTGATGTTGACGTGTCAATGTTTTCATGTGTAAAGTGTTATTAGTTGCGATATTTTGGAACAGAATTATTTCGAAGGTTCTTGCTGGCCTCCAAAATTAATTGGCTACTGCTCATGCCGGTGAGTTTCATAATATTTTGTAATCCACAGATTTTCTTACTAGATAATTAAACTTTAAACATTTCTGTTAAAATTATTGTACGTCATAAATAAATAAAAAAACATAAGTAGTATATTTTACCAAGTTGATGATGGTGTGGTGAAGCTGGGTGATTTTATATCACGCTCGGGTCTAAAAAGGGAATAAAATAACTAATTTAAATAAAACTACTTTTTTACGGATTTTATCGCGTATATTAACTTGTTTTAATTTCAGAAGTTTCGAGTACTTTTCAGCACCCATGGTCACGGGGGGGACTGAGTTGTTCGACGCCCCAATGTCATAGTTAACCACGGCTACCTTCAGATAAAATTATTCAGTTTCGGTTCGATCTACGCAGTTTGAACTTCTGCTATCTTGAAGTCTTGTAGTAGTATCCTTGACTTCAGGATATTATAAGAATATAAAATAAGTTAATATACGCGATGTGATCTGTAAAAACTAGTTTTATTTTAATGTGAAATGTTTGTCTTAACGTAAAAAATCGTTATAGAATAACTAAGTTCAATTTTAACCTTCTTACACAATTTCTATCCTTCACCCAAATAACAGCGAATTTTCTTTCGATTTGGGGATCGAACCCGGGTTACTCGCGTTCTGTTATATATACAGCGAGTGTTAACCATCTGAGCTACCACGGCTCACGGCTTTGCCAGGAGTAATCTAATTTTTTTATCCGAAAAATATCTATGCACTGTAACTTTTTGAAAAAAAAAATAAGGTCGCAGAAATCTTCAATCAAAATCTCTTTCGATCATTCGCTTACTTTTTAGTTATTGATCGATATTGTCAACTGCCCAGGAAATGCTAGTGCCATGGGTATATGCTTATGAGATTTTTATTATAACGTATTAATTTATACTTGTGTTTTACATTTTGTTCAAACAATTGTCAAACATGACCGTAGTAGGGCCGTGCTGCAGCTATATTAATTGTATCGTTGTAGTGCGAATGGGTCGGCCCGACGCTCGCTCGAAGTAGGTACGTAAACTTGATGTTTCATTGTTGTAGATCATTTTTAAAAGAGAAGTATAGAATTAATGGAACCAAAAAAAATTAAATATATTTTCTAAAAGGATCCGATTATTTCCAAGACCCATGCAGTGGGTGTCTCATAAAAAATTAACGATGTTTTCCGTATTAAATTGTAAAAGGGCTTCTTACTTCTCCGTCAGTTACGTTACATTACTACGCATAGGTATAAAGTTTTCTGGAAGGAATCGTACTTTCTTCACCAGGCCTACTTCATTTTGAAAGACTGCATTCCTGTTTATTTGATGTTGCAGTGTTGATAATTTGCTTTCAGGATGTAGTATATCACTTTTTTTTTAAAAACCTGTTGTAACAGGTATATTTATTTAACATTTTTATATATGATTTTATACACAGACATAGTCTTACAAAATAGTCCTTGTTACCAAAGAACAGGCATGTTGCACTTTAACATTTAAAACAAGCACGATTATTTTGCGTGATGAAATTAATACCTATTTCCGATACACCTATTGATGAGTTATTCAAATTTCATCACTGTGTTCCGTAATAAGATCGCGACAACTTTGTTTACGTGTATTTTAGAATTCGTGCGAATTCGGAACCTGTTGATATATTACAATAAGTCTAGATCACTGCTGCTGAGTCTGTGTGCCAATTCTATTACTTAATCCAACTCCACTTTATCAAACTGCGAGTGCAACTGCATTTACTAGCACAGATCTGCCAATCAAAATTTTTCCAAGGGTCTATCGATCCTCTAGGTTATGCCATCGACCTATTTCCTATTTATATTACTAATCCAATCGATCCAATTGATCGGTACCAATACAATCTTGATCTCGGAAACCAAAAATAGGTTCTGCGGATATTTGATCGCTCAAATCAATTAAATCCATAACGCGAATGTCCGAGCCGAGCTTGACTCTCTCAGCTCTTTATAGTTCGTCGAGCGACTTCAAACTAACATAGCAGCAAAGTGTACAGAATATTATTTAAATAGTAGCGCCGCTATCCGCCCCGGCTTTGCACGGGTGATTTCAGGATCTTGATCACAGCGCCACCTGTCCGGTTGAAACCTATATCTAAACCATCTAGGGACCATAATTAATATATTTTTTTTACTTTCATCATAACACCCCCGCAATCCCCTTCGTGAGTGGAATTTCGTAAAACTCGTTCTCACTTGAACTCGAGATCAAAAAATAATAATTTCATCAAATTTCAAACCTGTAGGAACTATAGATTAATTTTTTTTTGTTTTTAACTCCCTCGCACTGCCTTTTGCGGGTGGAATTTCATAAAATCTGTTCTTGATAATTTTTAATATGCTAAAAGAAATATTCTGGCCAAGTTTTATACCTATTTTTTTATAGGATAGGGTGACAAACGAGCACACAGTCCACCTGATGGTAAGTGGATGCTGTGCCCCATAGACATCTTCATCTATCCTCGATTAAGAATCAAAATGCAGATGCGTTGTCACCACTGATGACTAAGATGGAAAGCCCCGTTTCCAGAAAAAAAAGGTCTCCGGTTCTCTACAGTCACCATACGGAATACAGTAGTATTGAACTGCTATTTTACGCTGATGTTCTGTGAGAACGTAGTTGTTCTCCGGTCGAGCCGACCATTCGTTCTGTAACCATAGAAATATAGCTGCAGCATGACTCTCTCCTTTGTCTCTCATATTCTATAAAAAATGTGATTTTTTTAAATTAACGCCCCCACAACCCCTTTGCGAATGAAATTTCGTAAAATCCGTTTTTAACTGACCTTTACTCGGCGAAAGGAACATTCCTACCAAAGAAGATGTATGAAATTGGGTGCTTGACGTCGTTCGTAATAGTTATACAAAAATTTGTATGTGTAGTGTCATATACGCACTGTACAAATGTCAGTCTTATGATCATCATCATCATCATCATCACAGCCCTTGACAAGTCCACTGCTGAACGTAGGCCTCCCCCAAGTAATGCCACAAAGCACGGTCCTGAGCCACCTGCATCCATCGACTTCCTGCATATCTTACCAGGTCGTCACTCCATCTAGTGGGGGGTCGCCCTACACTACGCCTACCGGTACGAGGCTGCCACTCGAGAACCTTTCTTTCCCATCGGTTATCGGTTCTTCGAGCTATATGACCGGCCATTGCCACTTCAGCTTACTAATCCGTTGGGCTATGTCGGTCACTCTGGTTTTACTGCGGATCTCCTCATTTCTGAGTCTATCACGCAGAGAAACTCCGAGCATAGCCCTCTCCATAGCTCGCTGAGCGACCTTGAGCGTCCTCATACGGCCAGCAGTGAAGGACCACGTCTCAGATCCGTAAGTCATCACTGGCAACACGCACTGGTTGTACACTTTAGTTTTCAGAGATTGAGGTATACCTGACGAGAAGATGTGTCGTAATTTCCCGAACGCTGCCCAGCCGAGTTGAATCCGTCGATTGACCTCTCGGTCGAAGTTGGACTTACCTAGTCGGACTATTTGTCCCAGGTAAACGTACTCGTCAACAACTTCGAGCATAGTGCTCCCAACAACTACCGGCATAGGTGTGACATGGACATTAAACATGATCTTTGTTTTGTCCATGTTCATCTTAAGACCTATCCGTTGGGAGGCACTATTGAGGTCATTGAGCATAGTGCTTAAGTCCTCCAGCGATTCTGCCATAAGGACTATATCGTCGGCAAATCGAAGGTGAGTGATGTACTCGCCATTGATGTTAATACCGTATCCTTTCCAGTCCAGTAGCTTGAAAACGTCTTCCAAAGCAGCGGTGAAGAGTTTCGGAGATATAACGTCACCCTGTCTTACACCTCTCTGCAGTTGGATAGGTTTCGAGCTCTGGTTCTGTACTCGGATAGCCATCGTAGCCCTACTGTACAAACACTTCGATATACCGACAGTCAACTTGGCACCGCTGAAGGGACTGCAGCACCGCCCAAATTTCGACGGAATCAAAGGCTTTCTCATAGTCCACATACGCCAGGCAAAGTGGCAAATTGTACTCTTCAGTCTTCTGTACAATCTGCCGCAGGGTATGTATGTGGTCTATGGTACTGAAGCCTTTTCGGAAACCGGCTTGTTCGGGAGGCTGGAAGTCGTCGAGTCTGCGTGCGAGACGATTTGTAATGACTCTCGAAAATGAGTCTTATGATATAGTTTCTATATTCTAATTAGTATTTAATGATGAGTGTTCCATTAGCCTTGCTGTCGAGGTACTCCCCACTATTTAATAATTGCAAGTTAATTGGTAAATCGTAGAAGTCTTTTGCTAAGTCTAATTATAATACGAGAATTAAATTTTACTATATATGACGAAATAACTTAAGACAGAAGGATCCTAAGTAGGGACTGAATAAATTAACCGACTTGATATTACATGGATCTCACAACTTTTTACGGTAGAAGTACGTTGCGAGACTTGGTTCTTTTTACAAGTTATGTTTTTGATGGCATTATCCTATTTCATATAGGCACTATCATTATCGGTTTGCCGTAGTTCACTGCTGAAAATAAGTTTCTCCTAAAACTCGATACTTAAATCGATTTTGCATGGGCGTTTCAAGCAATATTCATCTCGTCGTGGACGTGGTCTTAGCTCTTAGGCGCGGCCTTCACCACTGGTGGATGTCTCTTGTAAGGATTATGTCTCCAGCACATTGCCTTGAAATATACTCTTTATGAGTTTGTCGAAGTGATATCATTCGCTATGAAGAAACCAGACGATATTTAAGGACATTAAACATAATATGATATACCTATATAATATAACATTAAATAAGCAGGTGTAAGTAAAAATAAAAATTATATGTAAATATTATAGGTCCGGCCACGTAAGATGATATTAAACGAGTCCACTGCGCGTGTACAATCAAGCAGAAAAATTAAAGTTTTATTATGGCATTTTAATATGTAAAAAGTCAAAGGTCAACATGGATGTTTGTCCTTGTGCAATTTA